AGTCGAGCTTGAAAATTTTAAACTCGCGATTTTCGAGTCGAGTCGAGCTCCATTTCAGAGTTTTTGAGTCGAGTCGAGCTTAGTAATACTTGAGCTCGACTCGGCTCGTTTACACCCCTACTCAGAACAGTCTTCATTCAACTGTCGCAAATTTGTAGTCAACCATGATAATTGTATTTGACCACTGTTGAAATTAGGCTTGATAACTCCAAGATATTCCTCGCACAAGGAATGTCAATCATCATCCGCCACACCAGAAATGACATCTTCATTTATCGAAAACCCTAAATGTATGAAAATATCCCCCAACGTAATAATGCACTCCTCACATGGAAGATGAAATGTGTGTCTATAGTCTCCATCTCTCAATCAGTGTAGAAATAAGGTTGGATTCCAGGTTACAATGCCCTTCATATTTCGCTATGTCACTAAATTCAGCCAGACACGACTCAATATTTCTAACTTAATGTTATGAATAAATGAGTCTAATATACGACTATTCACCTAATTAAATAAATAGTATACAAATTAAAATATAAAGTTATACTAAAAATAACTAAATAAAACATTCATAATAAATAAAATAACAGACTTTAAAATTATTTTCATTTCGACAAAATAACTCTAGAAATGATTCTCATCTAAATGCAGCTACACACCTGCCATTTTATAACTACAAAAAGTAATAAAAAATTAATTTCTAAAAATAATAAATATACCTTCTTAAAACGTGATAGAATGATAGATAGAATGAAGATATATAATATTTTCGTTTGTGGTATGAGTGTTGAAAGAGATAGAGTATTTATAGAGGAAGAGGAAGAGGAAGAGGAAGAGGAAGAGGAAGAGGAAGAGGAAGAGGAAGGTGGACGAACGGTTGGACGATATTTATGGCGGACGGATGGATTTAAATTAAAGGCGCGGATCATGATCCGTGTCTTTTGTCAGTTCGGACAAAACCCCGTGAAGGCGCATCTCATGATCTGCGCCTTCCAACATAGCGTCAGTTCGGACAGAACCCCACGAATACGTGCCTCATGATTCGTGTCTTTCCACTGTAGCTCTAGCTCGGACATGACCTCACAAAGACGCACGTCATGATCCACACTTTATCAGAACAAGTACTAGATTAATAATATTTAGATAAAATATATCTGACATGTAATATTTCGTTGCTAGAGTGGTTTCTTTCTTCTTCTTCTTTTGTAAAAACACCTATAGAATGACTTTCTTTAAGAATTTTGGTGTCAGTTCTTTAATGCGACTGCACCACCGATTATATATATATATATATATATAATTTGTTTAATGTAACTAGTGTAAATTATTTAAACAAACAAATATTTTATAGATCATTAAAATTGGATGTCTCTTATTTCACATTCATATCATAATTTCATGTTTTGGTGTATCATGTAATTTGACTTTATGTCTGGAATTTAATATAGTGTTTTTAATTTAATATTGTTTTATATTTTTCAGTACACGTAGAAGATTAATAATACGAGTGCTCATTGATGGTGATGCTGCCAATTGTACTTATTAATGTTGGATTGGATACTCTAGATTATAAAAATATTTTAATTGGCGGCGACAACGGTTTTGATGGTAGTTGATGCCCATTAATTGTCTTTTTTTTTAAATTTTTAATAAAATTAATTATGTCTTTGTGACATGTTCTTTGTCTTTATGATACGTTTATCTTTACCTTTGTGACATGTTTTCTCTTCATTTTGGTAGTTTACTATTTTTTTCCATTGTTTTCGTTTATCTTTTTTTTATCAGGGTTTGATTTGACATCACCACGACTGATCAATATGACATTTATTTGTTATCATGCCGATCTTCCTTGCTTTGGACCCTAAGATGGATTTGGATACATGTTTGACGCTCGTGGATAGTTTTCTCACATCGCTTGACTCTGATTTGCGATTTGTCGGTAGCATTCAGTAACTTCATCCATTTTTTGTGGTTTGTTTGCCGATGTAGTCAGATTTGTTCGTATCTTTATTTTATTAGAGCGTTGGTTAGATTTTTTTTAATCTTTTCTTTTTTTGTCCTTGTGTGATCTAGGTGACTAATTTTTGTGTTAATGATTATAGAAAAATGTCCTAATTATAATTTAATTTATGTTATGCTTGTAAATTTTTATTATAATTTTGGATATTTTCTATTTTTAATAAAACTAGTGATATTCTATATAGAAAAATATTATATACATGTTTCAAGGTTTTTTTATTAAATAATTAAAATTTAAAATTAGTATTATTTAATAATTACGTTAAACTAATAAAAAATTATATCTTCTACTCTATCCACACACAACTCAAAAGAAAAGTGTATCCTTTATTCTATCCACAGTTAACTCATATTAAGTGACCAATACAAAATTAGCAACATGATGGGATTAATTAAACCTTTCATTTGCTTTTTATTCAATCGTTAAATAATGCTTTCAATCATTACTAACAATTAATTGATTTAGATGAGACACTAGATCTGTTAAGAAAAATTAGAGGTTTAAATCGTGATGATTGTGTAATTATTAGACGTCATAATAATTAGACGTTTTTTTTATATTTTTCTACTTGAAAGATATTGTATCTTCGATTATCTTATAAAAAGATGTTATATTGTCCGATTGTCTTCGGATAGAAAATAAAATATGGCAAAATAGTAACTTTTATCCTGATTGAATTTATCATTTTTGTCTTTATCATATTTTCGTATTAATTTAACTCTCGAAGTTGTTCGATTGCATCATTCTATACCCTATTACTAACTTAAAACTCTAAATTATTAACGCTAAACCTTAAACACTAACTTAGGAGTTGTAATTTAGGGTTTTAAGGAAAGTGAATAGAATGATGCAATTAAACAACTTTGAGGGTTAAATTGATGCGAAAATACGATAATGACGAAAATGATAAATTGAGTCTACTACAAAAACAAATAAAATTAGCTGACCCTATTTCTATTGTCCTACAAGCAATTAAACAACTTTGAGGATTAAATTGATGCGAAAATACGATAATGACGAAAATGATAAATTGAGTCTACTACAAAAACAAATATTACCCTTAAACCATAAAAAATCGATATCAAATACACTTGAAAAAAATTCTCACTGTCCTACCTGAACATTTTTGCCTAGTATATGAATAGCGATAGGGGAGTTTGCTCCTTTGCTTTTTGGGTCTGTTTATGACTTTAGCCTATATTTTAAGGGTGGAGTAAATTTTAATCCTTAATTTAATCTGCATTTTTTTATCTATATTAATTTTTGAACTTGGGTCATTATTTTGATGATATGAAATTATGAGATCATTTTACATATCATAATCTTAGAATATTATATCATCAAAATGATAAAAAAAAAGTCTTCATAGAAGGTTATCATTGTTTTAATACAAATTCTTGTAACATTATAAAAAAAATCTGTATTTATTTTATTTGTTAGATATAATTCAAAGACAATTAATAATGTTTTAATTGTGTTTAAATAATTATTGAAAAGGTTGATTCATTTCATTTTATTTTTATATCTTTTTAAATAGTATAGTATGATCAACTTATTATATCTTAGTGGTTGAAAAAAAGTTATTTTTCTTAAAGGTTTAAGGTTCAAAAAATTAGATTATAAGATTCATATGTATATATGCTATTAAGGGTAAACTACTTTAAATACCACCATCCTTTAAGTACCGACTTGTTTATACTACTAACGTTTTAATTTTGTTAATTTTAGCACCAACGTTTACTTTTAAGTGCAATTATATCACTCCTCCATTAATGATTTAACAGCATGATGACAATGCATCTTCGAGTCGCGATGTTACTAACATGGATGCTTAAAAAAACCAAAAATGATGTCGTTTTGTTGACATAAATAATATTAATTTTTTTTTATAAAAAAAAATCCTAAAATTCCTATAAAAAAACCCCAAATTTCTAAATAAAAAATTCTAAATTCCTAAAAATCCCCCAAAAAATAGAAACCCTAAATCATAATCCCTAAATTCACCGACCATCATCGTCGATAGCACGTTGTTGTAACCGCACTGAAGTCTCATCCTCTCGTCGTGCACGTTATTCACCATCGTCGTCGTTCATGGTTCGATTATAACATTTTATATTTGGTGTTTTGACGATTGATTAGCACATTGTTTTTCGATTTTCGGTGACGGGATAGTGGGGTAATTGGTGATAAGGGTTTGCCAACGAAAGTGGTGGGCATGATCATTGATTCGATAATGATAATAAGTGAAATTAGGGATTTAATATTTAGGGTTTTAGCTTTCGGGGGAATTTGAGAATTTTGAAAATTTTAGTTGTTTTTTGAAAAATTATTATTTTTAAGAATATATTTGTATATTATATTTGTAAGAATGTAACCAAAATATTAAGTTAGTTGAGTGGCTAAGCCTCGTACTTTGTTTCAAAAGGTCTAAAATTCAAATCCCACTAAAGTCAAATTTGATCAAAATTTGTTCAAGTAAAATGACATCGTTTTAGTGAGGCATTCACATCAGCAATGTTATGGTACAAATCTATCATGCCATTGTGCTGTTAAATCATTAATGGTGGTGTGATATAATTGCACTTAAAAGTGAACATTAGTGCTAAAATTGATAAAATTGAAGCGTTGGTGGTATAAACGAATTAGATGATATTTTAAGTAATTTACCCTATTATTAATAATTAAGAAAGATTATCAACAAATATTACATTATAATCCAATTGTATTAATCAATGAATTAAAGACAAATAATTATATTGAAAAAGATTTCTTTTAGGAAAATGTATGGATTAATTAATAAATGTCGTACAGAATACAACCAAGAAATGGAATAAATTTCCCAAGAATTTTTTTAATATATCACAAATAATGGGCAAAAAATAATTCCAAATTCAAGTACTTTCCTCAAAGTAGAAATCAAACATATTTTTCACAAATTTCAACAACGTACATTTTGCGGTGAAATTCAAAAATTATGAACTCAATCCTTCTTCCAAGCGTACAACAACAAAGAGAATCCTCCATTGCTCCCACAAGACCTAGTAGATGAAGAACAAGAGCTTCTTCCACGATCATTGCTCTCCTCCGCCCATTGCAGCACGCTCGAGCACGACAGCGAAGGCGACAAACTCCCCGACCTCATCGGCGTCGACCCTCCTCCGGCCGCCACCGACGACAAACTCTTCCTCATCATCCTTTTCTCCGGTCCAACCATCTCAGGCCACACACCACCATCACCAACTTGGAAAATAAACATACCATGACCATTGGTATTATTATTATTATTATTTTCACCGTGGTCATTAACCCAATTGAAAACATCCCAAATGAATTCCACCTCGATTCCTTTAACATAAATCCTTTCGTTCCCTCTAAATTTCCAAGCCAACCTTTTCACGACAAGGCTCGTTTGGCCATCGACTTTCACCTTGAGAACACCTCCATTACAATCTATGGCGATCTCATGTTTGGACCCCAAGAACTTAGCCCTCGAGACATAACTCTTGTGTCCGAAAACATGTTCTCGTGTAGACAAAAGTGCCGGTTCGATAAGTACCTGTCCTGAACAACGCTTGGCTAGTTCATTTTTGAGATCTCCTAGGGAGAATTCAAGCTTGCCGTTGCACAAGAGGGCAATGTAGAAGTTGGACTCGGGCTCGGCCGAGTTGTTGTGGGCATAGGCGGACCTTGTCAAGTCCCAATAAAGCTTGATTTTTTGACGACGGTGGTGATGGTGGGTTAAATAGATGGACTTGGAGCTGGGTCCGGGTCGGGTTCTGAGGAAGGAGAAGGTTGAAGGGTGAAGAGAAATGGTGATGGAGAAGAAGTCGGTGGCGTAGATCGTTAAGGAATGGGAGAAAAGGGTTTTGGACCATGTGAGTGTGAGATAGGTCGGTGAATCCCATAGCTGGATTTGGTAAATGCAGGTGATGAGATTCTGGTGCACTTGAGTGGTGGTCGACACGGTGTTCGGTTGGCTGAAACATGCTGGAATCATTGTGTTCGATGTCGAATTAAGGAAGGGGAGAATCAAAGAGCGGAGAGGGTGATCTCGTAATGAGATGGGAGTGACTATTAAGGTAATGGGGAGGGGTCATATTGTGGTGTGGGTTTTTTTTCTAGGGTAAAATTTTCAAATGGTCCCTTGACTATACATGTTACTTTATTGAATTCATTGACTATTAAAAGTTATAATTTGGTCCTCCAATAATAGGATATTATTTTGTTGAATCCTTCAACTATTAAAAGTTACAAAATGTTAACCCAATCAATATATTAATGTCCGACACATAGGGTCATCTATTTTTAACAAAAAATGACGAGTTTGGAAGATATAAATAGGTGGGCGATCATTTTGTAACTTTTAATAGTCAAATGACTCAACAAAGTAAAGACCTATAGTTGGGAGATAATTTTATAACCTTTAATAGTCGAGGGATTCAACAAAACAACATTATATAGTCAAAAGATCATTTGTGTACTTTACCCTTTTTATTAGTGGTGTGAATATAATATAGTTTATGTTCGACAGAGGCGGGGCTAGGACGGCGCAACGTGCGTGACGGAACATGGCCCCGGAATAGCAAGGGCCCCAAAAAATAAGATTTATTACTATTATTACAATAAAAAAACAAACAAAATAATATGGATCGGTGATAAAAAAAATTGGCCCAAAACCACAGAACTTGCGATCGAATCTTATTGAAGTTATATGGGAAATACCAATAATTAGTATTGTGCTATAGCTGTAAAGCTTATTTCATTTTTTAAGAATTTGCCTAGGGTCTCTAGCGTTCTAGCCCCGACCCTTATATTCAAAAAAAAATTTCAATCATTTGATAATAAACGTTGATACAACTCTATATAAACGTAGTAATCAAACTCAAAATTTTAAAAAGTAACAACAATTTTTTAATCGCTCGCTTGGTTTGTGTTAATGTGAGGTTGAATGGGGTTTGAAAATATGAGTGACAAGTGTTATTTTTGTTTTTGTTTTGGCTCCCATTAGCGCAATCATGAGGAGCAGTTGAGAAGGCCAAGAGTAAATAGCTTAAGAACTTTGATTTCATATTCGGATTTGTCCCCATGATTTGCGCCTGAGAATGGGACTTTCTTTATTTCTATTTCTCATTATCTGGTTTGCACTTTGGTACAACTATTCTATCCCACTCGGTCACAATTTAGAGGCGACTTTGAAGTTTGAACCCTCTTTCTTACTCTCTTTTTACTTTAACAGACCTAAGGCTCCTTTCGGGGTAAATTGTACCACGACCTGTTAATTATAATCTCTTTTCATTTTGATCACTATTTTTTTAATTTTATCAATCAAAACATCTAACTATTTAATTGTTTTCGATCATACCATTTATCGTTAATATTTAACGAAAATGACAACATGAGTGTTAAAAAATTGATATAATTATACATTTAGTCCTCATTAGTTATAGATTTTATCAATTTGATCCAAATTTTAATATCACAAATATGTAGTGATGTAATCCAATTACACGTTGGAATACAAGAAGATATTCATTAGAAACAACAATGAGTTAATCTTAACCTTCTATTTCCACTCGTCTAACAATCATAAATATGTGTAAAACTAAAAAAAATCGTTGTACATTTTTTAATGATCGTTGGATGAGGGGATGTCAAAAATTGAGATTAACTTATTGTTTTTAGTGAATATTTTCTCATTTCATGCTGTTAATATCAACATTTGATTTTCTCTCATCCAACGATTTTAAAAATGTGTAAAACTTTTTAGATTTACACTATATAATTGGATCCTAGCCCAATATATATAAAATCCACTTACACCTCGTGTAAAACTTTTAGTTTAATGTACTTTTAAGATCGTTGGATGAAATGAAATTAAATGTTGAAATTAACTCGTGTTTTCTAGTTAATATCTTCTTATTTCTTATTGTTAATCCCAACCTTTGATTTCTCTCGTCCGATGATCCTGGAAAGGTGTAAAACTAAGTGTAAACAATTTATGACCAAATTCTCAAAGATAATGGAATTTATAACCAAATTCATAACAATTTTTCGGAGAAAAAACCTTTTGTTAATTTCCAATTTCTCTATTAGATTGGGTTTAGACATTAATGAAATCAATATTTTCCCCATTGCTCGAAAATTTACAAAAATACCTCGACATTGGAAAGTTATATGAACAAATATCAAAACTATAAAAGAAAGAACGAAACTAAAGAGAAGAAATTTCTTAATTTCATTATCTTCAAGTGAGTGAGTACACAAGTCTCAAGGAGATCATTTATAGTTAGGATTATAACTATAACTAATTCTGTAACTAGCTTCAACAAACTGAAACTTCTCCAACTGCTTAGCTGTAATTGTATTAACTCTCAACTGCATGCGCGTCCATCATGCACAACAGCTCTCAACTGTACGTGTTCTCAGCATGTCCCATGCACATCACACAACTACATTCATTAACATTGACATTCCTCTTGCACCTTCAACTTCAACAACTCAACTGCAGATCAATACTAACATTCCCCTTGCAACCTTCAACTTCAAAGCCTCATTCAAAACTCATCTGATATGCTTTTAAGCTGCACCACCAGCAATCATTGTCTATGTTTGAAGAATAAAGGTGGTGACAAAGGCTTGGTCAGCACATCAGCAACCTGCTCAACTGCAGGAACTTCATGCACTTGTAGCTGCCTGTAGCCACAATTTTTCGAACAAAAAACAAATCTAGCTCAACATGCTTAAACTTGGAATGAAGTACAGGATTAGCACATACGACGACTACACTCGTATTATCACACCATAACGTGGCTTGCCATGCGATACTACAAGCAGTTCCCCCAACAATGATTGAAGCCACACCATTTCAGCAGTTGCACAAGCCATACTTCTGTACTCGACCTCAACAGTTGTTCGTGCAACAACCTATTGCTTTGAGAGCTCCACGAGACCAAATTTCCATAAAAATATATGCAAAACCCAGAGGTCGATCGCCTATCATCAACATCTGACCCCCAATTTACATATGCAAATCTAGTCAAAGTTATTCTCGAGGAGGATGTAAAATGTAGACCAAAGTCAATGGTACCTTGCAGGTAACGAAGAATTCACTTGACTGCCTGAAAGTGAACATCTAGTGGGGCTTGATAAATTGACACACCCTATTCACAACAAACGCCACATCAGGCCGAGTAATCACAATGTACTACAGAGCACCTACCATGCTTCTGTATCGTGCAACATCTTTAAGTGGAGTTCCTTCCTTAGCAAACAACTTGACGTTGGAGACCATGGGGGTGGTAAGACTTTTCACTTCACCAAAGCCATGCTTCTATAAAAGGTCCTGAATATACTTCTGTTGACTCAAGACAACATTGCCACCTTCATAACTAACTTCTACTCCTAAGAAAAAATTTAAAGGTCCAAGATCATTTAATGAAAACTGAGTGTTCAGTTTGTCTATAACCCGTTAAACAACTACTTCTTTATCACCTGTTAGGATAATGTCATCAACGTACACCAACAAGTACACCAAACTATCTGAGGTCTTTCAAACATAAAGTGAAGCAATCGACTTACCTAGACAAAAACCTTCAGATTCTAAGTATGTCTTCAGTTGTTCAAACCAGGCCCTCGATGCTTATTTCAACCCATAAATCACCTTGTGTAGCTTATATACCAGCTCACCATTGCCTTGCTCATACCCTGATGGTTGATTCATATACACCTCTTCAGTGAGCAACCTATTCAAAAATGCATTATTGACATCAATCTGTTTAATCTTCCACCAGTGTGACAATGCCAAGGAAATAATTACCCTAATCGTTACAGGCTTGACCACCGGGCTGAAGACTTCATCAAAATCAAGTCATGGTTTCTGAAGGAAACTCTTTGCCACTAAACATGCTTTATACCTTGATATCGAACCATCAACATTTCACTTTATTCAAAAAAATCCATTTACAGTTTACTTTCTTTCTATCTCTAGGAAGAATAACTAATTTCCATGTGTCATTCCTTACCAGAGCATCAAACTCAGCTTGTGCAGCTTCTTTCCAATGAGGACTCATCAAGGCCTCTGTGACATTGGTTGGTTCTCGATCTGAACTTACAACATTATAAAATTTCGGCTTCCAAATTCCATGCTTACTCCTGGTCATCATAGGATGTACATTAGAACCTGCATGTTGAACACCATTCTCCATATTGTGTTAAACTTCAACGCATTTTTATACTGCACCAGGAGACACCAACTCACCTTCAACAGTTGACACTCATTGTGAATAAACCACCTCAGTTGAGGCCAAATTTGATGACTCGTTACCCAATGTAACTTGTTGCTCATATTCAAGTAATCTGCTATCTTGTATATTCCATTCGAATGTTGTTGCCATCATTACTCTCTTCATGAATTTCATCTGAGCTGCCCCTACTACTTTCATTGTTTGTATTTACCATGTGATGTAATTCCTCAGTTTGACCTGTACTTTTAACACCGTCCACGTTCCTTGAAGGGTTTGTTGTGATGCAAACTACATGAAACTGTCCAGTCGTGACAATCTCCTCTCTATGGCAACTGCACACATGTTGGTTCTTAACAAAGGGTAACACTTGCTCATCAAACCTAACATGACGAGTCACAAAAATTCTATTATCACTATCTAAGCATTTATACCCATGATATGAGGTGCTAAGCCTAAGAAAAACACACTGCCTGGATCGAAAATCCAATTTATGTGGATTAAATGGTCTCAAGAAAGGAAAACAAGCACACCCGAATACTCTCATACCCGAGTAGTCAGGAGATTTTTGATAAAGAGCCTCAAATGGTGTTTTACCTGATACAGTCTCGGTTGGTAGCCTGTTAATAATGTAAACTGCCATAGTAAAGGCATGACTCCAGAACTTTGTCGGTAGTGATACTTGAGCCAACATGGTTAGTCCCATCTCAACAATGTGTCGATGTTTGCGCCCAACCTTCCCATTTTGCTCTGATAT